CTCTTGTGTCCGTCTGTCTGTCTTTACTCTTCGACTTCCACAAACCTCGTTCACTATACGCCCACCGCCCCACTTCCTGCCTGCTGTAAAATATAGTCCCGTCTGTGTCCTAAAGCAACCTCACCTAAAGCGACCCCATCGTCTTGTGCGAATAAGAGCCGTGAAGAGAGTGAGAAGAGAGAGTATCCTTGTGTTGAGTTTGTGATCTGCAAACTAAACTCAACCCACTCTCTCTTTCTGCCTCTGCCAGTCCTATCACATGCTTTCCTAGATTGTTTACTTGCACTGGTTTGGTCTCTCTCCTTTCTAAGCTCCCTCCCTCTCCCTTGCTCTCTCTCTCTTCCTCCCATCAAGGCTCTCTTGCCCGCCCACCAGTTGATTCCTGCTTACTCTTATGTGGCGATAAGAGCAGAGACGAAAACGGGAAAGAAGGCCTGTACAGCCCTTTTCTCTCAGGATTTGGTCTTTTGCTGTTGCAGTTTCTGATCCTGCAGTTGCACTCCCCTAACAACTACCGTGAGTATCTGCCTATGCCGAATCAAATAAACAAGACTATAATAGGTAGCACTGGAGGAGATGACAGTGGGACGGACCCCCCCTCCCTCCTTCCTAACCCCACACAGCTAGGGAGAGTGGCGGACGTGCAGAAAAGATAGAAACTGTGACACAGATCGAGCTGAAAGATTTCATGAAACGCTTAAATGTGCAGCAGCTGTGTTGATACAGGAAGCTGAAAAATGTTCTCTAGACACAATGAAGTATGTCAAACATGATGGTGCTGTATTTAAACCACATTAAAAACATTAACTAGTGGTTAAAACATTTCTCCGTAAGAATTCTGTGCATGTTTTGTGTCTGCAAGGAATAAAACACGAATGAAAAAGTAAACATGAAGGCTGAATGATCCGTTACTGGACGCAACCATTGCTCCCTCCAGTTTCTTTTCTCATGTAATAAACAGTGTTCAGATAAAAAGACTGTATGTAACAAAATGAGACTTGTTTTTCTTTAATTATGTTTCAGTAAACAGGTCAAATCTTTCCCCTCACTTCTGTCCCTCTCAGAAGGTCAGCATGGACTCTTAAATTGACTACCTGCCAATATCCGCCATTTTCACTCGCTGTGTGCTTCTGTGTGTGTGTGTGTGTGTGTGTGTGCGTGTGTGTGTGTGTAATGATCCACAGAAAGTCAGGTGAAAGGACACAACCAATGTGAGAGATTTTAAATCTTCAAGCATAATTTAAACAATTTTCCTCATCACTGACAAACTTAAATCACAGACTGTGAACATGAACAATTTTCAAGAGTCAGTTAAAGGTCAAAGCACTGTTGTCCACATGATGTGATCTGTTGTGTATCGCTGACCCTCAAATTCATCTGGCACCGACATCAAGGACGCACATTTTGCTTTTGCAATTAGTTTTTAATTTAATCTAATTTAATATAATGATAAAGCTAATGCTAATATAATCAGATAGAGAATCTCTCCGCATCACTGCAAAAATGACCTGGTAAACAGCACTGTGAACTCTCAACTGGCTTTCATCCAAACCACCTTTATAAAGCACAACCATGATGGATCATGGATATTAAGAGTTTATTTTACATAAATGGGTCTGTGCATATTTGTGTGTGTACAATAGCTCTTAAAGCACCTAAATATCTTTCATGCCTTTCACTGAACTGCTGGTTGTAGTTACAGCTGCCCTTTAAATGCTCTTCTGTGCGTCATGTGGTGCATTCAGGTGCTTTTGTCCTGTTTAACAATGCAATTTACTTTGCAACAAAATAATATTGGATGTCAACATTTAGCTTTATACTATATATATAACTATATAACAAAAAAAAAGTGACAGTATAGACTAAATATACTGAAATTCAGCTCTTCCACGTTCATTTGCACTGTTGGGACATTTGCTTTTAAAACAGGTATCTAAATCTAAAACTAATTTGAAATGAACTTTAGTTTTGTTTCACTGCCTCATGTAGTTTTACTGAACACATTTTATATACAAACATTTCACAGAAAGGTTCATTTGCCTAAAAATATTTATTTTTATGCGCATTGAAAACTTCTAAAGCTAATTCAGTCACCTGAATCTAAAAGTAGATCACCTGTTTATATCGCTACTCGAGTATTTGACCGTAAGCGGTTATTTTGTCCCTTCCATCTCAGGTACCTGAAAGAAGTAACTTAGTTTATTAAACTCAATAATTACCCACTTGTAAGAGGATTATTCTAACGCGGGTATGTGGAGAATAATTAACAAAGGTTTGTGTTCAAATCTGTGATAAACCTGTATCACTGTTTACCTGTGTCTTTTTCAGATGCTCCACCTGTCTGCAGGGCGCGTAGGAAGCCTACTGGTCAAGCGCGCGACGGCGGCCTTGTCCACCAGCAGCGCGAGGATGTCGAGCCACGGTCACGGTATGATTAGTGTTTTCCCACATCCGCCATGTAACTTAGTGCCTGTGAGGTAAGAGAGAGGAAGCTCCTCGCGAAGAAAAGTCTCTGTTTTCTGGATGAACTGAGGCAGATTCAGGGGGCGGGAAGTTTTCTTTTAGCTCTGTTTACATAACCGGGTCAGAGGTCACTGCAGCTGGTTGCTGTCCAGGTGTAGACCAACAGGTGTTCATCTCCAATAATGCTTAATTATTTATTTATTTATCATTTTTGCCGTAATAATCAGAAACTACAAAGTAACTGAAGTTAGAAATGAATGCACCAAGAAACTAATAATATTTCTTTCTCAAATGTGGTGAAAGTGAAGTATAAAGTAGCAGAAAAATAAAATGCTCAACTAAAGTACCTCAAAATTATGCTTTAAATTACCTGAGTAAATACTGATACCCTGAAATCACAACTATCCAAATTTGTGACCCTGCCTAAAGTCCAGGGAAGTACCATTATTGATGACAGCTACTATCAAGTCTGTGAAAAGTATGACAAAACTGTTAATAGGTCAAAGACTTCAGTGTCACACCTGCACATATTTTTCAGAAAGCAAAGGTTAAGACTAACAGCCTAAATTAATCTGTATGAAACCAGATTTAAATCCACTAGTTTAACTGAAACAAAAGTTCTCAGTATTTTAGTTTTATGCACGAGGTCTGATAATGTGCCTCTGTCTGTCCGACCAGCAGATGGCGCTGCTGTACCATCATCACATCCATGTATACAGATTGTCTTTTGGGCTTTTGTGTTTCTTCAAGTAGAATTTCCTAATTCTGGGTTTAGAAAACGTCTCTTGCCTGGACTTTGTTGCAGTATTTTTAAAAAAGAAAAAAAGGTGACTCTGTCCCTCCAGACGTGGCAGAGACTACGGACATGTCTCAGCCGATGTACTGGGACCGTGTGGACCTTCCTCTGCCTGACAGACCCTACAAAGACGCGAACAGTGCTGCTGAGAAGAGCCTGAAACAGAAGGAGAAAGGACCCTGGGGCCAGCTGTCCAAAGAGGAGCAGCTCGCCTGTAGGCAACACAAACACACACAATACACAGAGAATGGATATCCACAGTTTGAAGTTTACATTTATAAGCAAAGGAAAGTTAGTAGTGAAAAGTAATTTATTTAAATTTGCACTGTTGCATCAGTAGCAATTTAATTATGTCAAATGTTATTATACATCAGTCACTGGAGAGATTTTACTGCAGAACAATAACTTTTAGTTTTGATACTTTAAATACATTTTGATCATAATAATCACAGTCACAGAGAGAGGAGAGGGTTTCACACAATGAATTTAATGTGTCCCCTTGACCTCTGTCTCTGCCTCTGCCCCGCCCCTCTCCCCCTGCAGTGTATCGGCTGGCGTTCCGTCATACCTTCCCAGAGATAAAGAAGCCATCAGCGGAGTGGAAGACCGTCCTGGGGGGCATCTTCATCTTTCTGGGCTTCACTGGCCTGGTGGTCTGGTGGCAGAAAGTCTACGGTAATAAATCTGCCTGCAAGTTTGCCTCAACGTCACACACTTGTTGCCGCAGGGGTTTTTACGTGCTGCAGACCTGTGTCACAGCAGATATTTTTGACCTGTCAGTGCAGAAAAAGCACAGAAGTATCTAATAACATTAATGATGGCTCTGCTCCTTTTAAGTATAGTGCATGCACAAGAGCAGGGCTGCAACTGACTCATCTAAACCCTTTATTAGTGTCACGAGTAGCAGCTCTTCATGTTCATGTACAGACGTGTTTTTATATTCATATTGACTCCATTACAGTGTTAAATGATGCGCTGTGTATCTCTGTATTCCTTGTTGTCTCCAGTCTACCCTAAAACCCCCAGGACCTTTGACGAGGACTGGCAGGCCAAACAGTTAAAGCGGATGTTGGACATGAGGGTGAACCCCGTCGAGGGCTTCGCCGCCAAGTGGGACTATGAGAAGAAACAGTGGAAGTAAATAGACAGGTTGGACTGCGGCTGAGGTGGCTCACAGTTCGGACCCGTCACTCCGGAGCACGGCTTTGTTCCGCTCTGCGAAGCTGCTGCTGAGCTAAAACTGAATCTGAATGTTGCATTATAAATGTTAAAACCACTAGAAAGACAGAGCTTATCCACTGTCGGCATCTCTGGGGTAATTTTACTTTACTGTGCCACCTCTGGCCCTCAGTCAGCCGCCTCTGCCTCCAGCCGCTGCGACCTTCTGTCATGGTGATAACTGTGCCCGTCCAGGTGTAGCCGTATGATAATAAAGTTTTGCTTTGTGTCTCTGCGCCAGTCTTTTATTGTGTTTTTGTTTTTGTGTTGTGTTTGATGGATTGTCATGAAATCTGTACAGACATCGATGCTCAGAGTCCTAAGGATCATCTGACTTTTATTATAGAGCAACCATGAGTTTCACATTTGTGGTTTTGAGTGAAATGTCTCGACATCACATCGTCTGGATTGTCACTAAAGCTGGTATGTTAATGAATTCCTCCTCAGGATGAACTGCAAGAACTTCTCTGACCGTCTGACCCATTGTTCAGGACTCTGGAAAAGACGAGACAGACTCAACACGTCCTCCAACATTGGCTTTATTAGGTTTAAACGTACTTAAAAATTTTTACAATGCCATTCTAAGACATACAAACAGACCATTGGACATGGTTGTTCTAGACTCTTATGACCAACAAAAATGCACCAGAGACTCAACTTTCCTCTTTTGAAAATATCCTCCTGCTTTGTTTTTGCATTTTCTCGTCTAGTAGAAGTCCAACAGTCCTACAAAATAAAAGCACAATGAATGACAATGCACACCAATAGAAAGATGGTTTTTAGTTTTAAGGCCAATTATGCTTTTTACACCAAATATAAATAATGTTTAAAAGCCATCAGTTCTGTTTTTCTTAAATATGTTACTAAGCTAACGTACTATTCTAATTAGTTTAAATAACTAGCATATATATATATATATAAGTATATATATATATATATATATATATATAGGGTCGTGCCAATGCTGTCACGCTTCCTTCATTTGTGCCTCCTTCAGGAACAAAAACTCACACGCATGCACACACACACACTCACACTGTCACACACAGACACACACACAGACACACACACACACACACAGACACACACAGACACACACAGACACACACAGAAACACACACACATAATATGTAAGAAGGGGATTTGTTTAAGTGAGGGCCTGGACCGCAGAGAAAAGCCTACGAGCAGCTTCTTGGTGGGGCACACACTAGAAAAATATATATATACTGTACTGGAATGTATGAGAGCAGACCTTGGCTAATAAGATGCTCAGGACACAAGCATTTAGAGGGGGATACTCATCAGGTTTTTTTTTGTCGTTTTATTTTGGTGAAACATCGGTTGGTAGATGTACATGATTCTGTGAAGATGGAAAAGAGCAAACGTGAACGTGAGAGATGAGAGATGACTCCTGCTTTGAAGATGGAGGCACAGCTGCACTGACAGTGTAGTGATGGATGTTTGCAGATATGTTTTTTACACTCCCCTCCTTTAATGTTTTCTCTGTGTGGCTCCACACGGTTGAATCTAGCGCTGAACTCTTGTTTGATGAGCTTCAGATGGCGCCTGTCAGTCCTGCACTGAAGCTGTATTGTGCTCTATATTGTTCTGCTTTAGCACACCGGGACATATTGTTGTGAGCTGCAGATTGGATTTGGAATAAGATCAAATTTGAAGCAGTTGGAAGATGCTGGGAATGGGGAGGGGTACATCCCCCACCACCACCACCACCCCTCTTTTCCCTCCCTTCCCAGTAAATTAATCGAGCTGCCAGTTGTTGATGCGTGAAACGCCTGGCGACAAACACTCCTCCGACTCCAGCTTTAAATTAAAGATTGAAAGATGTTGAGAAACAAAGACGAGGTCTCCTTTTCCCTGTCTCTTGTGGACTACATCTGACTGGCGGGTGTGTGTGTGTGTGTGTGTGTGTTACAAGCGTGTCTGTGCGTGCCGAGGTGTGTTTATGTGAAGCAGCAGGTGGGCCAGCTGTGACTGACACACGTGACTAGGTGCAGTGACAGCCGGGGGACCGCAGAGGAAGAGGTGGAGCTGGATGGAGAGGGAGAGAGGAGGAGAGACGGATGGAGATTTGACAGATTTGAGGTGTCTGGGGAGGACGAGGCGGGGAAGTGGAGGGGCTGGACTGTGAAAGTAACGCGTGGATAACTAGGAGTGAGTGTGTGTGAGATGAGATATGAAGGTTCGGGTGTCTAGTTTTACGCATCTGCCGCCACAGACAGTTGCTGATTTGTTTAAGATGGTGAACAGACACATTCTGACACATTTGTCATCAAATTCAAACCAAATAACCTCTGAAGCAGAACTGCATTGTCTCCTCACAGGCAGCTGCTGCTGCTGCAGTTTGCTACATAAACTGATGTTTACTCCGATGCTAAAACGAAACATCACTCTGACTGTAGGATCTGACTAATGGAAATGATTAGTGAATTAGCACACGGTGGAATAAAAACAGCAAAAATAGTTTTCTGTTTGATCAGTGCAGCACATGATTAGGAAACTTCAAATGACTGATACTTTACTTTAACCCTCCACCACCATACTGAGCAGTGTATATAAACAACTATGGCAGCAACTAATGGGTATTTTCTTGATTTGATTCATTGTTTATTCTATAAAATGCAACTGAAAAATGTCTGTCAATAATCTAAAACCCAAAGAAATTCAGTTTATCATTATTATTATTTTTTTTTATTGTATATAGACAGAAGGGGTAAGTTTAACATTTGAGAATCATTAACTAACTGTTGTCATTTTTGCTTTCTAATTATCAGTTATTTCCTCCATCAAGTGGTTGTAACCAGACAGACATTTTAAGTGTTAATTACCACATGTTTCATCAGTTGGCTCCTGTGAAACTTCCATAACTGGAGTATGAACAGAAAATAATTGATTGACAATGTGTATGTCCGCTGGTTAGTGACAACAAGGAGCAGGAATGTAAAACTGACTGGTTGAGAGCAGAGAGCACTGACAAGGTTTTTTTATTTTTATATATATTTTTTTGTCAGATTTCGCCACTTGTTTGTATCTTGGTCACATTAAGGAAAAAAAATTTAAAAAAATCAGCCAATCATAGAGAACATTAAACTGAAGCTGCGTTATATTGTCAATCATTCATTAACTGTTAACGAACTAGTTACGGATGCTTCACAGACGCTGTAATTGTCAACACATACATTAGTAAAACCTTATAGCTGCTCACAATTACATTATAGTGTATTATAAACCATTTATTACTTGTTTTCATGTTGTTTATAAAAACTAAATGGAGGGGAAGGGGTTAAAGTAAAGTGTAACCAAAATGACAGCTTAACATCCAAATATTCAAATATCCAAGTATCCAACCCTGTTGAGATGAAAGAGTCTTTCATGCTGTTGAAAGATCTTTCCGAGTCGTCTGAGTGTCGCTGTGACCGGTGCCGCTCTCATCTGTTGTGTGTGTGTGTGTGTGTGTGTGTGTGTGTGTGTGTTGCTACAGTATTCGCTGCATTCTTTAGCTACTGTGAAAGTAAACACGGAAGGTCTGAGCCACGGCACGCTGCTCGTCTGAAATGCAGTCACACTGATTCTGAGGAGTTGCCACACACACGGTGATCTGGCAGTCAGCAGGCTGACTAAACACAATCAGGATCAGATCAAGGCCAAGTGTGACCATGAAGCACAGATCAGCGGGAGCAGTGGGGTTTCAATGTTTCACAAATCCAAAAACCAAACGCACCAACAAACACAAACAAGCAGAGGATTTAGTTTCCCACAAGGTTTTTAGTTGAAGACTCCCATGTTCTGTTAACTAAAGTCTGTTTGACTCCTTTTCATTTATCATTCATACAAAACCTAGAAGCATGAGGACAGAGCAAGACAAAACAATCTGTGTATGCAGTCATGGATTATGATGTTACACTGTATGTGTTGGTGATCAGGGTGGCTGGCAGGGAATGGGAACTACAGAAGCCGCTCAGGGGCAGGTGCTACATCCGTCCCTGCTTTTACTCTCCATATGGCACATACAAAGCTATTGTCGAGCTGTGTGTGGGGACGTGCAACAAAACAAGCTTCAAGACGAGACATGTAGAGCAGCCCAGGCTGACTCTGTATATCAGACAGGTCTGGGTTAACTGTGGGGACTGGAATCTGTTTGAGCCTCTTTTGAGGATGAAAATGGGAAACAAAAATTTGTTAAAACTAAAACACACATACAAAAAGAAAAAAAAAAAAAAATCATACAGGAACAAGTGGAGAAAGGGAAGAGAAAGAACGGTGATTCAATGAATTAAAGAATAATATGCCTGTCTCTGTATAACCATGCATTTTTCACCAGGGTGGGAGTAAGGTGGAAACATGAATAACTGTAACTCTTCCTCTTCTCTGTCTTTTTCTCAAAGTCCAACAATGTGAGGATTCTCAGTCCGCGGGGGGGGGGGGTAAAGTAAAGTAAACATCATCAGCAGTTCTGAGGAGACAAACAGGACCTTCATTTTAACTTCCGCGGTGTGTAAGCTGAGGGTGTTGAAGGAGGCAGGTGGAGAGGGGACGTGGGAGACGAGTGTTAAGAGGGTTGTCGTCTATCTCCTCTCACAGGCGCTTTTGGGCAATCAGTGAGCCCACCACAACCCCGGTCACCAGGGTCATCCCCGCCAGCAGCCACTTCTTGAAACTCTCCTGAGACCTCCTGCTCTCTGCTGCTGCGTCCTGCCCGAAGATTTCAGCAAAGCGCTCCTGGAAGACATGGAAAAAAGAAAGGGTTAACACCAGGGTATTTCCTGCTGACTATGTGAGATATATTCAAATATAAAAAAAACCCACACACATATACACTTCCAAAAACACCCCTTTAGAAAAAAAGAAAAAGAAAAGAAAAGAAAGCCACAGACAGGTTTAGAGAGTCAGGTAGATTCCCTTCTGTAAAGGTCTCCAGGCCTCAAACAAGCAGTCAGCTGCTGAGACACCCACATCTAGGTATTCTTATGACTGTCACAACAGACATGTTCATGTGTGGAAATTTCCATGCAGCACACCAATCACACAGGTAAGGCACCGTCACAAGCAGAAAAAAAAAGCCCCAAAAGCCACCTGCATTGAAGCTGTTCACACCAACAACAAGATCTCATTGATTAAAAAGGAAAAAAAAAACCCACATCATTAAACCCTTAATCAGGAGCCGGTCACAGCAGCTCTCACTTTAAAAATGTTCCACCAAACCTCCCCTCCTCTTGCACGCATCCTATCAGTTCTGCGGCAGATCCCTGCTGAACCGCTGTTGTTGCTGACATTCTCTCCCACCGTTGTCTTCACTCTGCCAAGCCTACATTGCCGCCCACTGAAATCATTTCCTGGAAATGAGCTGCAGAGCCTGCAGTTCTGATGTACGGCCACAGGGAGGCGGCAGCCAGGCTCAGATCTCATGTACAAACACAACAGCAGATCAGCTGAGGTGGACACAGCCCACTGAGTCACTACTGATGATGTGCATGTTGTTTCTACTTCTATAGTGTCAGAGCTTCACTCAGCTCACTCATGCTGCTTATACTGAATGAAGGTCACATGACTAATTAAGATGTCTGATTCGGTCATTACACAGGCAGGACAAGAGGTCTACTGTGGGTCATTACTGCTGAGAAAGAGGACGGGAACAAGAAAGTGAAAGGACTAAGCAGGAATGACTGAGACACAGAAAGAATGCAGGGGCGGGGTTGGGTTAGGGGCTATTGCTGGAAACAGAGAAACAAAGCAGGGAATATCATCATAGCTGTATCAAAAGGAGTTACAGGAACATGGGGGCTGTTCCAGAAAGTTTAACAAACTTAACTTAACACTGAGTTAGCAATCTGCGTGGTAGGTGAAAAAAAGCTCCAACAACAGGATTCCCCATGACAACGGATAAATAAAGGGCAGAACCTCAGCTTTCATCCAGAGATAGAAATGCCTTACATGCCACATTCAGCTACGTTTAGACCACAGTCACACTCACTGGGCATGTTCAAGGTTCAGGAATATTCTCCAGTGTGATTTATCTATGGACACCAGTGCAACCAGTCACACCATTAAAAAATATGACATCATTACTCATTGAGTGGTGTGGCTATATGTGTGGAGATTCATAATGTACAGTTCCTTGTTTAAAGAAATATTACTGCAGTGATGACCTGACAGTTGTCTTAATGTGTACAGAGTCACAGCGTTGCTGAGAATGATCCAACACCCGACCGGGATCTTGATCTCCCTCTCCCGAAGTGATTCACTGCAAATTAATAAGCTTCGATATCAACTGGATCAATAAGGAAATGAAAGAGCGTGTCCGATAGCTCCTAAAGGCCCCAACACTGAGCTGTAGAGGAGGGGGCTCTCACAAACCCAGGATGTGTTGAAGGGAACCAGCCAGTGAGCAGTTACTAGTTGGGGCCAAATGGACACGTGAGTGAAACAATATGAAGAAGTGACAGTCATAAATCAGAGGTGGTTTACAGAGAGGGGTGGTGACTTTCATTCCTAAGTCATTCCAGGAGCTTTAGGTCATTCTGATTTCTGTCTGATAACAGAGGTGTGGCGTTCAGTTTCTTTCACACCCCTGCGTCTCTTCCTGCTTGATGTGTGACATCATCACCACAAATGGACCATTAAAGACCGGACTTAAACAATGAAACTGACTGGTCCCTGAGCTCTCAGGAAATAGGCCAACAATGACACACACATAATAACAGGATCACTTGTTAGTAATTTAAGTATGAGACGGATGTTGGTGCATTTCTGCAGAAATATGATGCTACGCAGGGGTTCTAAGGAAACAAATCTTAACTTTGTGGCTAGTGTTTCTAAGAACATGCAGAGTGTGAATGTGCTAGTGGAAGATTAGAGATGGTGGAGATGTTGCGGTGGTGACCTCATTCATGCTCCGACTTAACCATAAACTGATGGCAGCCCTGTGCATGTGTCATCACAATAACCTATTTATAGCACCATTTATTGGAATAAATACATTTATGTCAGATTTTCTCCACGGCCATTTATGTGTGTGTGTGTGTGTGTGTGTGTGTAAGCCTGGTGCATCTTATTTATTGGTTTAAAAGCCCATTAAAAAGCACTTGCTGACATCCTTCATCATGATGAACCATCTGTACACTGTTTTGGTTTGTTTCAAAATTCAGAAGGTGATAACGAGGTTTTTCCCATAAATGCAACCAAAACATTTGTTGAGACCTCTGTCTAAATCTTTGGGTCTCCAGGGCAGGTTGTGGGTTCAGAGAGCCAAGCTGGTCTCACAGTAGATTCTTTCATTCATGGTTTCACTCTATTAAATAAACACATGAATACTTCTACTGTAAAACACTTATCAAAACATCCTTGAGAAGCTTTTACACTTGAGTTGAGATCAGTAGCCCCGGTCAATGAGTAGCATCTAAGGAATGTGTAAATATGTAGCTTCGTGCACACAGAAGCAGGTCTGGAGGCTTCACTGGAGGCCTGGCTTCTTGTCATACAAAGTTCAGTCAAGGCTAGAACAGTTTGGCCTCACATACTGACTCTCTTTACCAAGGCCTTGTTAATGATTGTGAGGAATCAAAGAGACTCTTTACTGTCTGTGTGTGAGGAAGCTGCCAAGAGGATTAAATATTTGTCTTCAGTTTTACCGACTTCCTTTTGGCCATTTTTAGAAAAGGCTATTGATGCAACTTAAGACACAGATGATAACATGGATGGACACACACACACAGGAGTGTGTGCAACAAGAGGCTGGGTTGAAAGCAGTACTGGAGGAAAGTTGCTTTTAAGTGTCTTGATTACTGAGCAGCAATAAAGTAAAGCAGCTTGAATTATGCACAGGGGATTGATAAATGGAACTAAAGTAAATAATGACGTAGTGTGATTACACCGTACTGTACATCATGTAATATGAGTCAGTGTTTTACTGCTGCCCCTTAAGTGTTTCTTAAGAGCTGTGTGACCGCTGCCTCGAACAATGTGAGGAATGAGGGTGTAGAGAACAAAACTACAGCACCTTGTGATGGTGACTGACACCTGTAAAATGGACATGTCAAGACATGTTACTATGGAGGGCAGGAAAGATATCATGAAGCAATGTGTCTATTGATTATGTGGTAGTGTCATGTGATGTAAAGGAGTGCTCCTTCAAATGCTCGACAGCTCAACATTACTTGTTTGGGTATCTGTTTATATCCATATGCAATGTGTATAGCAGCTTTATTTATTAACAGAAGTCTTGTCTAGATTTGCTTAGATTTAGCTCAACAGCTAACATCTGCACTTACTTGTATGAGTAAGACCATGACTCTTCTTAGCAATATTCAAACATAGATATGTTACCAAAAAAGCTGTGGTTAAAACCTCTACCAGAATCCCCACAGATGTCCCTGTTAGGGCATAAATCACCTGCACTGACTAAAGCAGAGTTTGTGCTGGCTCATTTTATGTGACTGGAAGAATCCACATAGACCAAAGGGGGCAGAATGGCTTGAATGAAAAGGCTGGGGGCATTCTGTGTTTTTGTTATTGTCAAAAAACCAAAAAATAAAAACCAACAGTGCTAATGATATAAATCTTTAAAAACAGATCACAAATATGGATTCTTTTTTTTTCTTTTTAAAAAAAGAATAATAAAAGTCTTAATAATGTTCTAGAAAAGCTGACCATCTACAGTGGCCACGTTCATAGTAATGAAGGAGCATGTCTGCCAGTTCAACAGTGAGGCACATTAAAAGTTTTTGAACAACAATGAAGCTCTATGGCCCAGGTGAAGATATAACAGGCTTTTATACACTTATTGGTCAGTAGGTTACAGTCATTGCTGGTTTTAGTTAGGATTTGCTGCTCATAGGAAACATATAGAATATCACCAGACTTATGCATAATAGAGACTGCTTTTGAAAACTGAAAATAGACCTGAGATCCATCATCTTCCAAGCAAAACAAGTCAAATTTGAAAACAATTATCTTGCATAAATAAAGGCTGCAGCATCTTACATATGGTATAGGATATTAGTTAGCAATTGTCATTAACCTTTTATGTATAAAACATAGTTTTTATAGAAGTTTTCCATCCTTTTTCTATTTTTTTTAAATATCTCTGAACTACAATGCTACAGTATTATGCCCGAATAAAATACTAGTTTGTATGCCAAAAATTGCACTGTTAAAATGACAGTTAACAAGCAGCATCAGAAACTTCTTGTTTACTTTCTGGTCATATCTATCTTTGGATGACACAGGAGTTACCTGTGTCGGCCTTGTTTATCACACAGGTGACGAGTTTACAGCCTTTGGTATAGATGATCTTTAGCTCTGATCTTTTGTTTCCAGAGCCATGCCTTTACATACTCTTAGTTTTGGTGACAGGTAGGTCGTCAGTGATTCAAATGAGATGTTGCACACAAACAAGGACACACTCACGCAAAAAAACACACACACACACACACACACACGTCTCCTAGTCTGTTAGCTCTCTCTGATCCGTTATTGCAGCAGAATAAATGTAAAGACATAAAACCTGCAGTAAGCGATCTCTAACAGTCTATGACACTCCTGGATACTTGCTCAAACCCTGTTTTCTATCACACAATAATAGAGTGAACTGCTCAGAGATTGCACGTCACCTACCATCCTTAAAAAAACAAACAATCGAAGCAGTTTCTTAACTATTGGTTGTTTATTTGACATATTTAAATGGACGCATCACACAACACTGCAAGCTAGCCATTCCTTTA